TTTCTGAGCCGTGACCGAGCGCATTTTCAGAGGGGGAAGTTCAGTCGGATGGTTTGGGATAGCATTGTTGTTTGTACCATCCACTCGTCCTTTCCCGATCCGGTTATCCGGATCGCTTAACCCTTTTGTTGATGTGGGCCGTGTCACACTGGATGAGGCTGATGTTACCGGACTGGGAGCTTGAACTGTGGGTGGTGCTGGTTGTGGTGGCGGCGGCGGTGGCGGCGGTGGGGGAGCCGTTGGGATTGCCGGTGGAAAACCGAAAGCCCAATTCCAAGGATGCGGTACTTTTGTGAAATCAACCGGGGCCGGATGGTTATGCATGGACCTGTTCATTAAACCGCGTGTAGAGCCAACGGACGAGTCGGGATATTTTGTATGCATGATATCATTGGCCAGGATATTCGCATATGCGGACCCGTGTCTTAAATCAGATGGAACAGGTCCACGAGGAGCGAATTTGCCAGAACCGGTCGGTAGAGTCGGATTTACCGGATGGAAAGGGAATGGTGCTGGAGGGTAGGGAATTTTCAGTGCATTCGAATTGGGCTGGGATTCGGGTAACTTTTGAGTCTGGTTGTTGAGTGGCACAGAAGGGTCCGTCAGTGGATGGTTAGTTCCAGAAGCAGCAGCTGCCATGGCCGCAGCGGCCCAGGTGGCCATCATCATTGGATTCAAGTCCGGTGGCTAATCACATCCAGCGGTTTAGACAACAGGTCCGAGGAGGGAGACGTTAAATTGGAGAAGAGAAGACGGGCAAGGGGGTTGAAGGAAAAACAGAAAGCTAACTGCGGTTTCATTCCTTTTTATGTGCATTTACTCCCTGAAATCTCATGAACGTAGGTGAATAAATTGTTCGCTCTTATGGGGCAGATTGAGAGGGAGAGAGCAATTCTAACGTTCAGTTTGGTTAATATATCGCTAGAAAAGGAGATTAGAGTATTCTGCGATTCGATGATCAACTACAATATTACCATAACCAGAATGCAGATCTACCAGTAGATGCAAAAGTGGAAACTTCTCCTAATCAGCACAATCATTAATTCGTACGCACACACAAAAATATTATGGAAGACACGATGAACCTATAAAAAATTAATGCCAACCAAACACTGGCCTATCCAATCCAGTCATTATTTAATGCCCTATTTCTCAATTACTAATGAACCCATATTTGAGTTGTGCACCGTCAGATGGACTCGTGAAAAAAAGAAACAATTTTCAATTCCACGCGATCTCTTCTTATTCTTATTGCACAATACTCCCTTTTTTCACAATGAAAATTGTCTGAATCTGGACCGAATAGATTCGCTCTGGGGAGAGTTGTTCAGCGATTAGTTGTTGAGGCAATTATTGGTACATAACACGGTTAAACCTTGGACACGGGACAAATTTTGAGCTACAATTATTAGTACTATTATGTAACAGTTACCAGAATGGAATCCATCATCACTTGGTCTCTGTCTTCTCTGTTTTCCTTCGTTCGTGCTTTGTGCTATTATCAAACGTAATGCTTTGCGCTCGACTGTTTGCAGTAGTTTGACATCTTTTCAACGCCCACTAGACCAATTATGTGGCATTGTGATCAGTTTCTGAAAATGACGCATCTCCAAATAGCGAACTGCCGTGTTTAAAAACTACCGCGTTTCATACTGTCATCACTTTCCACGAGCATAATTATGGTATGGATTTCACGTGTGATTCTACACTGTGCCTGTTCACAGTGTGTACACAGTTGGAACTGCATACCTAGCGGGAATCACATCGTAGTCATCGTCCAAAAACCACCGCATCGCGAACTTTCGTGCTTCTGAAACTAACTTTTATATTGTCTCCACAATCATGACCATAAGCACGTTCTCTCCCGAACCCAATTCGGATACACGCGTCTTCACAGAAAGTGCATTTTTGTGCTATGCCAGAAGGCCTCACTTTGTCACCAACACAGGGCGAGGACTGTGATTCCCACGGATCGAGTTTCTGTCTCTGTGTGTGCTAACGAGTTCAACTGTCATACTGTGCAAGCTGTACCGAGCAGATTAAGTGAACCCCGCGCTCATGTGGATTGAACGCTAATATAGTAAGTACATTTACGATTGACATCACTGTGCGATCTCGAACAACGCAGGGGTGCGCATAACAAATGCACGACATAAAGCAACATTCGTAAACCGCAAACTGACATTATTTTCAAACCATTCATATAGTCCTCCTTAAAATTCACCGGGATGATCGATACATTTCCCGCATTTAACCTGCGTCATCAAACGAGATTCCATTCAATGAACCACACGCGGTTCTTGTGCAACGTGTCAAAGTGCGACCGGATGACCGTGTTCGCTGGGAGTAAAAGGTTTGCTCCTTGGGAGTATTAGCGAAAAACTCACTGAAGGACCAGGGCAAAGTGCTCCTATACGCACCCGGGGTGGGACGGAGCTGGGTACTATTGTAGTGAATCAAAGCGAAGCAAGTGAGCAGACGGTTTGATTTCCAGTCAGGTGGTGATGACCGTGGCAGATTAACACTGGCATTCAAAGGAAGTCCCTTGTTGTTCAACTTGTCTCAATTCACCTCATAATGCTACTGGAACGGAGGTGACGGAACACAACTAGTTTCACTTTAGATATCAAATCCTAATAGAAGAACAAGTTGATTATTTCATCACATCTGACTGCGTGTTAGCAGTCAGGTACACGCTTCTTCTGCAGATTAGGTCAGCTCTCTCTCTTCCTAGCTTCCATGAGTTCAGCGTGCTTCTGGACTCGATCTCACGATGTCGCACAGCATAAATTCGTCGGTGTGTGTGTGTATCCAATCCTTGTTTACGAACAATCCACATCGAGTGACTGCCATCGGGAATTCACTATGAAATGTGATCTCGGCGACGGTGACACTCCATCATACTATTTGACCTATCCTCGTACTACACTGAACAACAACAAACTGATTTGGACTTTCGATCGATATGAACAGGTTGAGTAGACAACGGTTTTCGTTGCGCATGACTACATTCGTGCTGGAGCATCTGCGTCCAATCCATCACTCGAAATGCACCAGCTTTGTAACGTTGTGTGGTCTTCGCATAGCTAAATGCAATTGATCAACTCTGGCAAAGTGCAGCAACTCTCCTCGGTGACCGACAGTTGTATTCGTCGTTTCAAATGATCACTAAACTCAACAGAATACGGCTGAAGTCATTGCGTGATTGTTTCAAAACTTGGTCCAGCGGTGTTGGATATCATTAGCGCAGCACGAATTCGTCCGGGCTTCACAAACTGAATGTAACCGTACGACCCACGTAACCACCATCGACAGGTGGGTGGGAGCTGGGACGCCAATCAAACTGTGTCACTATACGACAATCATTTTTGTGCGCGCAAATAATTTGGTTCATCATAGTACTTATCAAAAGGACATACACTGACTGGATCGGGTGTAGATTAAATGAATCAGATCAAATCACATTTTGCTGCGCATAAAACACGATTGTGGGAATTTCGGTACTGTTCCAAACCTAATCCGCTGATCTTCATAGTTTGTGCGGTGCGTTGTCGGTAGCCAATCATCACGCTGTGATAACCACATCATCATCATCATCATCATCATCCCATGTCACATGACCGCCTGGAATAGGGGTTAGGTTCACATACATTCTAACCCCTGACATCTTTACGAGGTTGTGTTCGAAATAAGCTGTAGCAGCAGCAACAGCAGTATGTCAAGACTGATGAACTGGTCTGTCAGCCGACCACAAAACTGTTCACGCCTGTAAGTGGTTCGTTGGTTGGTTGGTTGGCTGGTTGGTTACCAGTGGTAAATTTCACGTTCTCAAGCCAACAATAATATTAGATTCATGAGAATGCAAACGGTGATGATTTGATGGATTGTTTGTTAGACGGTTACACACACACATATATGCAACTGCATAACAAAACAGTGCTGTGAATTACGCTACGTGGCTTTTAAGTGTGCTAGTCTCTCTCTCTCTCTCTCTGTCCTCAGACCGTGTACTTACCTACCCACTTGAAATTAGGAAAGCTGATCTATATAGGTGATAGCTCTCATGCTCGTGCGCTCGCTCGCTTGATGTCGCTCTTTAACTAAACTTGTGATATCACGCGACCTTTTACGTACACACACTCACCGAAAAGCCATTTACACATGATCTTCTGTGTGTGTGTGTCACATGAGCTCGACTAAATCCACAATAACCAGAGAGAGAGAGAGAGAGCAAGAAAGGTTGGCACAAGCAGCAGCGGCGTGTTGGAGCGGAATGCAATCACTCAACCGGCCTAGCTTCGTGTGCAGCATTTTTGCGGCTAACTCATCATATCTTCCCGCACGTAACCATGTCATGACGCTGAAAAACACCAATGTGAACTCAGCTGTTTCAGGCTTGAGAAGGTTTGATGCCAGACTGGACCACGAACACGTACACACAAACACATGTGATCGAGAATAAGAGCGATATGTTGAATAGAAAACGAAGTATTTGTTGCGGAATCGAGCAATTGCCACACCTTGATCGCTAATTTTAGTTCGGGGTTCAGATTGAAAGAACAACTAATTATTGGTTCCGGTACTACTACTACTACTACTACTACTACTACTACTACCGCTACTATTACTACTACTACTAAAGTGAAGAAAATTTCGTCATCATTACTTACCCGATTGGGAAATGCACCGGGGAAATTGTGAGGCCACAAATGTGGCGGCAGTCGCATTAAAGATTGGGCAG